GGCCTCCAAGTCCAATGCAGGGGTTGCGTTGGGCACAGGCTTGGTTGGCATGTGTCCGGATCGACATCCTCCATGCTGCTGAAAGTCATCTGCGTCCGAGCACTCCGTGCCTGAGGGCCCACTGTCCTCGATCACTTTTTGGAAAGTGCCGCTACGGGATACGGCCTCCACGTGCGCTCCAGTTGTTTCCTGATCCTGCAGATCCTGCTGCTGCTTGCTTGCATGGTTGCCTTTGCCTTTGGTACGGCCTTGGATCTGATCCTCCCACTGGCTTCAAGTACTCTTCTGACCGCTGCTTGTCTGTAAGCAAAGTCTTATACGCCTTGTCCAGCGTCCTTCCGGGCGAGGCAAGCAAATCTCGCTTTGCTTCCTCATAATATGTACTGACGGCGATGCGCTCGGCCATCTTCTTGAGCATTTCGTTAAACTCTGTGCGGAGCGCACACTCTTGCCGTCTAGCACTGCGCTCTTCAAACTCCTCGCTCTGTCGGAGCCTCTTCTCCACGTATTCTCTCAACCTATCGCCTTCAAATCCATACCGAATTCCGTTGGCGATAAAGCTGGCTTCAATGATCCATAGTTCCTGTGCCATGCTCGCTTCGTATCCTGGCGTGGTCGCCAAATGTTGTGAACCTTCTGGTTCTCTAAAGTATCAGGAACGAACGACCCCACACGGCACGAGGACAACTATTTATTCTCAACAGTATATTTCACTTCCATCGACTAACAACAATGAACAATGAATGACTGAATGAACAACTGAACACTAAAACCACCAGGTAGTTATAGCGTGAAAATGACAACTACGTGAGAGAGACACCAAAAAGTTAGGGTGCCAGTTTCCAATGAATGTACTGTAGCTACTTACTGGCGCAAACTGATTGGAATGGTTGGTAGCCAGGACTACAGCACATGAAGGAGCCGGGAGTGTTGACGCATGATGCCAGACTGCAGTTGCCGCTCGTGGGCCTAGCGCATTCATCAATATCTGCAGTATAAGCATAGGTGAACCACAACTGGTGTGTTGTTACCTTCTCCCCCAGGCCCCCGCCGTACAGCAACACAAACTCTTGATTGTGCGTCTCATTCCATATCATTTCTTATATTGACAATAAACGACGAGGGCACAGGAGGAGAAAGGAAATGCAAGACCCAAACAAAAAGGCGAAGGGAGAAGACACGAAGAAACAACAAAGAACAAGCAGTGATAAAGTGACGCCAAATCGGGATGACCATTCAGCGACCAATGCATACAGAGTACATGACTAAGACCAAGACAACCAGACCACGGACTCTCACTCCCAGACCAAAACTAGCACTGCGCATGCACTCGTGCCTGTCACGCTCTCCAGGCCAGGATGTTAGTTGCCCCTGCTACAGTTCCGGTCTTCGGGTCGCTGCGCTTGGCTTTTGGCAACACAGACAGTGAATGGCCAGATTCCCACTTCCCAAAAAAGTCGAATACACCACGATTCAAAGCGCTAGTTGCGATCATTTTTCTTTGGTGCCTCCTTTGATCTTGCCATCAAGATCTCCCAAGCAAAAGTAAGTTAGGCGGTGTTTACATGAGGCGTTTCAACCCGGGTCAGATTTCAACCTGCCATGTGCATAAATTGAATGGCGCGTTTACATGACGCATTGCGCTTGACCCGGGTTGAAATTTCGCCCCGGGTTAATTTCAACCCTCCCCCCAAGGGGAGGGTTGAAATTAACCCGGGTGAAGAAAATCGTACAAACGTACTTCTGTGCGTATGTCGCGCCAGGTTTGAACGGCACTGCAGATGCAAATTTCGCGCGAAGTGGACTTTTGGCGGCATATCAGTATTTGACCCGGGTCAACTGTCTTCATGTAAACACTCACCTCTTTTGTCTATCGTACAGACTTTCAACCCGGGCTGAACTCTACCCGGGTTGAAATTTCTCATGTAAACACAGCCTTAGATATTGTGATTGGACTTGGTTTTACCTGTCAAAAAGTGCGTGTGGGATAAGCGACAATTGCGATGAGCCGGACCAAGTAAATGCAACCATCTGTAACAATTCCCACCCCAGTCCCAGCGAATATTTCCTGCGCTGCGTGCTCGAGAGATGGCTTCACCAGAAGAACTGTTTTTTTCCGGATTGGGGTGGTACCCATAGTCAGGTCCCAGCTGCAATAACTTAGACCAGTAAAGGGATGTGGCTTGAAGGGTGCCAGCAGCGGAATCATCATCAGCGTACCACAGCTGGGTGGTGCTTGGACATTCGTGTGAAAGTTTGTTTATAAGAGGCATAACAGCAACAGTGTAAATGGCCATCGCAAAGGGGTCGCCCTGGCAGGTCCCCTCATGGGAAAGAAATTCGCCCCATCCGCTACGAAGACGCGGCACGGCATCTATTAGCAGCACGGCTTCGGTTTCAGGAAGACTAAAAAACCCTGCCATTGCCTGAACGGCAGCCTCGCAAGCAGCTGGGATGCCAATGCAAATTTGGTGCGGGGCAGTCGCAGCTCTGACGTCGCTTTCAATAACCTTCATTATCGCTCGCCCTATAATCTCCTCCCCAACAGCTATGGGTCTAACCCCTGGGGATTTATCAATGGGGATAAGGCGGGCGGCAGTGAATGCCTCCATGAAACTCGGCTCGATATTCGCAGTACACAATACGTGTGCCGAATCCGCCAATGCAATGCAAAGTCGGTTGGAAGCTGGGCCGAAGCACGTTAGCATCCTGGTCCAGGCCTCCGAGTCTAATCCGGACGGACCAGCGTCGCCCTTCATGGATCTGCTAACAAACTTGATGAGGCTTGGCGTGATGCGCTCGAAGAGTATTGGTTTCACCCGCTGTGAGTCGGCTGGCACCACCAATGAGCCAGGAACCGCCAGTGAAGAAGACGGGTGCTTGTCATACAGTACCTCACGCACAGTCTTGTCACCACCAGCCGAGTCCTCCATCCCGAGCACTGAGCCAGGTGAGTCATCACCCACCATCCTCGCTGCAGAGTTAATCTTCCCTGCGAATACTTGTCGACTGAAGGTTGTATCATTCACTGTATCAGGCAGTTTCTGGCAACGGTTTCCAGCGGGTAGGTGTGCTTGAATACATCTTGCTTCGTCCAGGAAATCCTCAAACCTGCCACATGACCACGATTTCAAACGTCGCGCGATTTGGGTTGTATTCTCAGCAGCCCGGGACTCCGGGTGAGGTCGCTGTAATAGTGTAAAATCAACACTACTCCTAACCCCACCTGCACATGGGCACACACAAATATGACTTGTGTGACTTAAGAAAGCATGTCTGAGAAAACCAGAACATATGTGCAAGTAGGTCTCTCAGATTTTGCTCAAATTTTGCAGGTAGGTTTGCTTTGGGGTGTAGATCGACATTCCAAAGCCCGCGCAAAACCTTTTGAAGGGAACCATGAAATTGGCATACCCCTCAATATTGGCACGATTTATGGGTCTACAAACGAGCCACGGCACAGCGTACAAAAACAAGCTACGAACAAAACTCCATCAAGCCAACATTACCTTACCTTAGAAGACTTCTTGGGGCAGCACCACTTAGCCATGCCAGCATCCCAGATGACGAGGGCAGTCATCCCTTGACGCCACAAATGATCGTCTTGAAAATAGCCCAATTTCAAGCGCTGATAAAACAGCGAGCTACGTCCTCAATTAGCAAACACTATACAGCGGCAGGAGATTGGAGCGGACGACTTCACTGGTCCGAGTTCGAGGATCTCGAAATTCTCTATACGCCGTGAGGCATATGGTCAGAACACTTTTGTTAAGACAAGCCGACGCGAAGTCGGGGTGATGTGTAACGCATGTCAAAGGGCTGTCGATGCTAACAGCTACAGCGCTCTCTCGACAGTGAAGGTAATCGACTGCACTCTACATCACCCCACATTTTTGGCAGAAACACCAATCTTTTTTTGATTGTCAACCAGTGAAGTCGTCCGCTCCAATTTTCTGGCCCTCACCAAGCTGCGCTTCTACCAGGGGCATCTCAGGAGGTCCTACAGGTTCCTTAGAGTATGGTCGCAGTTGTGAAGCTTGGGAATGTTGACCAAACATTGTTCTTCATCACCAGAAATTCAAACAACTAAGATCTTCAAATGCAGAGAATTTGAATACTAATCACACGTGACTTCATTAAAACCATCAAAAGAGGAGACAAACTTGGCCCTCCCTGGCTTCATATATCGACTTTTGGGGTCTAGTTTCCGCGATTCCCCATTTCTTGGGGCCATATAAGGCCCCCATGAAGAGAACACATAATCGAAAAAAATTCTCGGAGTGCCCCTTTAACCCTTCTCCGTCTGACCAGCCAAATATCTACGACTATCCTTCGATCAGTAAATCCATCGTATCTCAGTCATTTCTTGACCAAATTTCACGATCGAAGGGTCTATCGCCAAATAATAGAAAACACCGTCTCGAACAATCGCCGAAGAGCTACGACACTCCCTTGCAACGATATCGTCTGTCGAAAGTAAAATCACGGCAATTGCAATTTTTATGCGCTCAAGAACATTTCAAAGTCAGATTTTTCTTTTTTGCATGACATGTTCTTTACACAAAAATTCAAAGTCCAGCGATTGGGGAGAGTGAAATGGCGAGACAATTTGGATTCTGCCCGCAGATCTGGCGCTGGGGCAAGTGGGGGCGCTCGACTTGTGGCTTTATAGATGTCGAATGTGGGCTCTGTGCATTCGTCGCTGACGGACCTTTCCAAGAAGCGCAAGATCATGGAATCAGCCAATGGTGAAGTTATGATAATTTGAAGGTAAAATATGTCGTAAGATTGCAATTTGGGCCTGCGCAGCGATTTTGATAATGCGTAAATGATCACCGGTGCACTGCAGGCAGTCATCTTGGGTATATGTCATTTCCGGTACATTCCTCGCTTCCCAAACAATATGAGCCGCCTGCCAAATTCAATATAAAAAAGACAAAAGTTGGGACTGAAGACGTGGCCAGGGCATGTGTGGAAAGAACGTACCTGTACAGGAAAATCCTTCTCCAGTAAATCCAGGCTTGCAAACACATGAGAATGTCCCACTCTCATTTGTACAGTGAGCATCACTGCTGCATGTAAAATTCCGTTTTTCGCATTCATCAAGTTCTGGACAGGGGTAAACACCAAGGCATGAACAACAATGTCTTATTGTGGACAGAAAGAGAGAGCGAGAGAGTTTTGGAATTTCGAAACCCTGACACAACACACTTTCTAGTTCTTCAAAAACAGTTCTAAGTTTTGAAACTGAGAGAGAGTGAGAGAGAGAGAGAGAGAGAGAGAGAGAGAGAGAGAGAGAGAGAGAGAGAGAGAGAGAGATAGAGAGAGAGTGAGAGAGAGAGAGCGAGAACGAGAGAGGGAGAGAGAGAGAGAGAGGGAGAGAGAGAGAGAGAGAGAGAGAGAGAGAGAGAAAGAGAGAGGGAGAGAGAGAGAAAGAGAGAGGGTGCGAGATAGAAAGAGAGAGGGTGCGAGATAGAAAGAGAGAGGGATAGAGAGAGAGAGAGAGAGAGAGAGAGAGAGAGAGAGAGAGAGAGAGAGAGAGAGAGAGAGAGAGAGAGAGAGAGAGAGAGAGAGAGAGAGAGAGCGAGCGAGAGAGAGAGAAAGAGAGATAGGTAGAGGGAGAGGTAGAGAGAGAGGTAGAGAGAGAGGTAGAGAGAGAGAGAGAGAGAGAGAGAGAGAGAGAGAGAGAGAGAGAGAGAGAGAGAGAGAGAGAGAGAGAGAGAGAGAGAGAGAGAGAGAGGGAGAGGGAGAGAGGGAGAGAGGGAGAGAGAGAGAGAACAAGAGAGCGAGAGAGCGAGAGATAGAGATAGTGAGAGATAGAGAGAGAGGGAGAGAGACATAGAGAGAGAGAGAGATGGAAAGATAGATAGATAGGTAGATAGATAGATATACTGTAAAATTTAATCATGAATATGTAACGAACAAGTTAATCTAACGAGTTAACGAGAAAAGATTTGTCGTTATTTTAAAATTCGTTAGAAAAAGTCGTATGATTTGGGCCTCGCACGATTGAAATCGATCATTTCACATTATGGCATGCAGCGCGTGTTCAACGGATCATAACTCGGTCAATTCTCAATGGAATTCAACAATCGAAAGATATACATGATAGCAGAGACGCTCAGCAGTCGGCTCGAACAAATCCGAAGTCTTTCAAATGAATTTTGACAAAGCGACAGGAGATCGAATAATTTGAATTTTTTACGCTCTTACGCTGGATAAATTTCATTTTCTTTATTCTCCTGACATTGAGGTATACTATTCCTGTGATGGACAACAATGAATGTCCTTGACGAGCATCTGTCTGGAAAAAATCGTTAACTTTTCAAACCGTTAACCTTCGAAAATCAGAAAATCGTTAACTTTGCAGGTCGTTAAAATAATATGATTTACTGTAGATTGATAGATAGATAGATAGAGAGAGCAGGGCGTACGCAGCTCGCCTCCAGGAGTGGTTCCCACGCCAACTGATCAACTAACAATCCACACAAAGTCTTAAATAAGTGGTGCTATACGTGTCCCTCTGCATATTCTCCTCAGACTGGGTGAAATTACCATCCACAAGCTGCTGGGCGATTTTGATTAAAATGAATGAACTTTTCCAAGGCGTTTTTATATATTATGGATTTTCTGTTCAGCGTGATGATTGCATGCAGTCTTGAACCGGGTTAAATTCTCTAAAGGACTGCGGTAAAGCTGCCCAAGCTTCGAATCGTCTAAAGCAAACATCACACAGGGCAAGCAGAAGCCGACACTGCACACCGGTGAAAAAACTCCTCCAACCAGGATCGTTGAAAGCGGCGCTGTTTTCCATCCGTCTGTCAGGGCACGCAAAGAAAGGGCGACAAAGGTTTGTCTGTGCCCTAAACAACGGTGTTATCACTATGTTTATTAGTATATTCTGCTCCGGTGGTGTTTCACCAATAGTGTTACATACTAGTATAAGCCCATGCGGTGGGTCAAAGTCCATGATTGAGATACGAGAGGCACCTGGTTCAAGTCCTGCCTGGGAGCGTTTTTTCTAGTCGTGCTGCTACCCACAGTCAACTGGGAACTTGTGGCCAGTCACAAGGGGTACATGGATGCAGCTAATGGGGTTTCTCGGCACTTTTGCCAGTGGTCGCCTCTAGGGTTGACCGGGCATTAGCAGCTGTCGTGAGTTCCTTTCGGGAACGGACACGATAATTTACTTTTTTTACGAGCCTGTGTTAACCTTAATCAGGCCAATGTTCCCAAAAGGGAACATTTCTTTCCGCATGCGATTTGGTCAAGGGAAATTCATTTTTCCTCCGCATTTTCTGTTTATATACATATCTAGAAGGCTGATGATCATGAATCTTGGAATATTTGTCAGGCTTTTGAAATTTTCAAGTATCGGGATATAACGCGAAATGTCGTGAATTTTTGGTACTTGGCCGTACTTCAGAAATTGAGAATTCTGGTGTGAAAAACAGTCTTTCTCAGAGTAATCCACACGTAAGAAGTGCACTCTGCTACTATGGCCACCCAACTGGCCTGAAGATTCACCGGAAATTTGATCATGGCACATAGAAACCCGCCGTCTTTCTTCGATGTTCCCAAAAGGGAACGTTGGCCAGATCCGAGACCCAGATATACCTCATGTTCACCTGATTTCAGGAACCAGTATATCTAGCGCGTATTCCGTGTTTGTAACATCCGTAAACGTGGATATATAACTGATGGAGCCTTTTTGATGTTTTGATGGTAATTGGACCGTCCCCATGGTAACCAAATTTGGTCATATATTTGTGATTCACTAGCATGCGGAATACAGCAATGCTGTGCGAGGCTGACATTTGCCAAAGTAAAGATTGCTAAACAGTCCCCAAAGGAATATACTTCTGAAGTAGGTTTTCTTTTGTGTAACAAGATTCACTTGAACAATATTCAGCAAAGTATGGATGCTTTATGGCGTTCTCCTGGACTTTCGATGATCTTTTTCTCCGCGCGGTTGCATTTTTGTCATAAAATATCGCTTTAGCTGTAATGTGGTACAGCAGAGGGAAAGGTTTACAGTAGCAGAGTCCTTTCTGGAAAGGGACTCAAAAGTGATTCCAATGGAAGCTAAGGACATTGTTGAGAACTCCAACACACTTCAGGACTTAGTCCTAGCGCCACCGATTACTGGCAATCTGAACGTAAGCGCTATCGGGGTAAGGCATCCTGCAGCTCAGGAACTCGAAAAAGAAGTGGTGAGCACACTTGCTCCCTCTCTGAGCACTGCAAATTCACAACTGCATGGTGCTAATGATTCCGTGATTCTGATGCAGTGAATTTGCTGTGCCTAGGGAAAGAGCATGTGTGCTCACCACTTCTCGTTGATCTGAACGTGGACGATGAAATAGAGTAGTAATCAGATGATTCAACGGATGATAAGGGTTTCATCGAACTTGCAAGAGATATGGACCTACACAACTACCACGTGACGAATGGAGAGGATAATGATGTTGGTGCCTTTCCTGTTGATAGTGAGTACGACCGCAAAAAAAACGCCAACCCAATAGAACAACGCGTTGGGTGAAATAGACTGGTGTTTACGATAGGCGTCCTGAAATTGAACTGGACAAATCCCTTCACGATCACCATGAGATCACTACAGCATCACCCACTTGCCAATCGCGAGATATACACCCCCTGTACTTCTCTAAACACTATTGGACGAGTAAATACTGCGCGATACCCGCGATACGGACAAGGCCCACATTAGCTCGGAGACCGACAATCTTGAGAGATTCCTTGTAATTCTTTTTGTCTGGCTCCACATTCTTACAACTGATCTGAGAGTGCCAATTTTTCAAGCAGCGGTGAGCAACAAAAGCCAATGTCCTACATCCAGGCTCATCCCGAGATCGCCGTCCTATTTTATTATAGCCGACCGCGCCCAGAAGCACCAGTGTCTTGCTGTTGATGTGCAATACAAGCGCGTTTGACAACAAGAATGTGGACAACACAATGTCGTTGTAAATGGTGCAGACAAACCACGATATGTTACTGTTCTCAGTGTGGAGTTCGACTGCATTTCGATCGAGGATCGAATGCCACGGTGTATACGAGACGCGAACGGTAGCAGCCGAAAACACTAAGAAACATTGCTGGACACTCTTTGACGACTATTACATATTTTTTCTTCTCCATTACTGCTTGTTCATGTTTGCATTGCTCCACAAACACTTAGAAGACAACATAATCAGTTATATCATATTGCATCTTCCCTTCATAAAAACCATGGTCATTTTGGTACCCGATCCGGCCAACGTTCCCTTTTGGGAACATATACATATTCCCATAACGCATAGACATATTCAGTTCAAACTTATAAACATGCTTAATTGGTCCAATACAAGCCGAAAGAAAAGAAAAAAACTGCAAGAATACGCTGAATTCTTGTGACGGCCAAATTTTAAACTGAAAACTGTCTATGAAAGTAGGTTGGTCCCAACAGTGGAGCTCGCTCTATCCGCTAACTTGATTGCATACTAAAGTTCTTTGAAGATGAAATCGGTACATTCTACAGATTCACATCCTATGTGGCCTGAGAGAGATTTACACCAGAGACCGCCGCTGTCAGTACACTTCATTTACCTCGACAGCCGGTGCCATTGCTCTTAAGCCCCGGTGGGCATTCACAGCGGAAATAACCAAACGTGTTAACGCATGTTGCCAGACCAGTGCAACCATCAGTCTTCAAGCTACATTCATCAACATCTGTTCAAATACAAATGTGAACACAACCTTGGATTTGTGACATAAAGCACATGCTTGAGGATTACATGAAACTTGGGGTTGTAACAAGCCAGCCTTGCTCCACAGTTCTGCATAATATCATCGGAGGAATCCTGATATCCACTTTTTTGTGTTTATCTACACTTGTCTATTGGCAGGGCGGTGTTCTCAGTGAAAAACGCTGAGATTTTGCGGGAGGAATGCATACGCACAGACAGACAGACACCCACGCACACACCCACACGCACTGGCACTTGTAAAACCAACGTGTTTGTGAGCGACCGTTGGCTGCATAAAACTAAAAAATCTGTATACGAGAATTCCAACATCAGCCACATTGCCATGGACCGATTGGCATGGACCGATTGGCATGGACTGATTTGCATGGACCGATTGGCATGGACCAATTGGCATGACTGATAGCACAAAGCAAAGACTGATCCATCTCAAACTGTTCCACTATATGGACCGATTGGCATGGACCGATTGGCATGGACCGATTGGCATGGACCGATTTGTATGGACCGATTGGCATGGCTTGATTGGCATGGACCGATTGGCATGGACCGATTGGCATGGACCGATTGGCATGGACCGATTGGCATGGACTGATTGGCATGGACCGATTGGCATGGACCAATTGGCATGACTGATGGCACAAAGCAAAGACTGATCCATCTCAAACTGTTCCACTATATACATAGACGGGTAGATAAACCGCGTTTTTGCCAACACAGTATAAAACCCCTTAGCATAAAGAGGGCCGGCACCGGGTCCAGGACTCATATAGTTCAGATGGTCTCAATAGACCGAGGCTCTGCCAACCGTGTGGATGGTTGTAGAAAGGTCGCTGTTTCCGAACACGGTGTCCTCCACCTTGTTTCATGCTGCTGTCAAACTATGAACAATAAGTATAATTGCAGGCAAATATCCCCTATCCCTGGTTTCGCTGCCTATGACTCAGACGTAGGTTAAAGAGGCAGCGCCATCGTGCCACTTTACGGGACATCTCTGAATGGATTGAATCGATGTGAAATATGACCACAAGGATGTACCCAATGTACTCAAGGAATACTTAACCCCAACTGTGACAATTTCAATGATCTACGAACACACGTGCGTATTGAATAGCATGTCAACAGACCAGGGTGGCATGTTGTGTCAGGGTAGGATGTTGAGTCAGGGTAGGATGTTGTGTCAGGGCGGGATGTTGTGTCAGGAGAGGACGTTGGGACCGAAGGGAGTTGTGTCAGGGTAAGATGTTTGGTCAGTTAAGTAGATTGAAACATTGCACCACAGCCTCAAGATGATCATAAACCTGATATATTGATAGCATCACGAGCGCTGGGAAATACCTTGACAGTCAGTGCCATTCCAGGTTTTAAACCCTGGACGGCACTCGCATACATAGGACCCATCGTTATTAGCACATGTTGCTGACTGGCTACTGCAGTTGTGGGTCTTCAGATCACATTCATCAATATCTGTTCGGGTAAAAAAAAGAATTCTTAGCACAGTGGTGTTTGGAATTTGTGACTACTTGGCACTCTGAGTATGGCTTCTCAAATCAATCGCCCTCCCAACTCCAAAGTTGAAGGCACAACATCCGCCTTCATACCAATACCAGCGGGAGTGCCCCAGGGTTCGGTCCTGGGACCACTTCTGTTCCTGGCGTACACCATTGACCTACCCACTGCCTGTGAAAATGCTACAACCTCGTGTAGCCAGTTCGCGGACGACACCGCACTAATTGCCATTGCAGGCAGCTACATTGAGTGTGAGGCTGCGCTACAATGAAGCGTCGATGCCGCAGCAGAATGGCTAGAGCGCTGGCACCTGCTAGTCAATAAAACAAAAACCGTCATCCTCCCGTTCTACCATGCTAACCGACCCCACCACGACTACCCGAAATAAAACTTGGGCAAACCCTACTAGAAACAGTAACACAACATTGTCACCTCGGCATCATCTTTCAGCACGACCTAAGATGGTCAGCCCACCTTGACTTTAAACTGAAGAAAGCCGTAAAATCTTTTATATTCTCTTTAGGCTCAAATCAACTCTACACACTAAATCACTCTCTCTCATTCACAAAACATATATCCTGCCTATAATTGAACATGCATGCATTGCTGTCGCCCCACTCTCAATCGCACCCCTTGCCCGTCTTGAGCGAATCAAGCGCAAGGCGGCCAGAATCTGCCTCCATCTCCCCCTCTACACTCCTCTGAATCATTCAACACTGCTCCATCGGCTCAAATGGCCGACAATGTTCTCTCGCCGCAAAGTGAAGCTCACCCTTCTGCTCACTCCATAAAATACCAATATGCCCCACAACACATACGCATGCTCAACACCCCCTCTCAAGTTACGGCCCAGTACAGCCTTCGACACGCACGCACTTGGCACCTCCCACCCTCCAGAACCGATCGCTGTAAAGACTCCCCACTGTACAAGTCCCTAGAATACTACAATGCCCTCCCTGCTAGCATTCGTGACGTCTCCTCCCGACATGCTTGCAAACAAAAAATCTGCTCACTGCTGATTAACTCAATCTGCTCCTGCAGCGCTCACCCTCTCCCATACTTGTAAAGTGATGTAAATCACTTTCCAACTGTTTAACCCACAGTCTCACCTTCTCATAAATTTATCTCATATTGGCGATGGTGCCATCGTAAGAATAAAGAATTCAAATTCAAAAAAAACTACCCCCCCCCCACTCTTTGAAAATTTGTTCGATTCCCTAAGCGCCCATCATCAGGATTTTGCGGGACACTAGCGGGGGAGGGGGGGGGGGGCGGGGGTCTACAGTACACAAGACAAGGTGGAATGAATTATGCCATGCAAGATAACGGTCAAAATCATTAAACGATGCACTTCTCAATCACTTACCCCAGCATGATGGCCAAGCGCCTTCACCGTCACAGTACTGAAGTGTTGGTGTGCCAGGCTTGAATTCCACGCCTGGGTTGCAGGACAATCTCTTCAACACAGGGGTTATGTCGGTGACGGTGCCTCTGAGAACACCAAGGTGTGGGCATGCTTGTACTGAAGGAGAAGAAACAAAGAGAGTTTTCAACGATGTGTGAAGGCAGCAAAGGAGTGAATTACCGACCTGCAACTCTGGACTGTGGTCGAACTCATATTTTACTTAGGTCACTCAATGCACTTTTAAGCCGTACTTGAAATCACAACTCAAGTGTGGTGATGAATAGAGAGTACAATACTTAGACAGCAGCGACACGTCCAAGACCTTCTCTGCCGTTAATCATAGCTTAGTGCTCAAAACACCCATCAGACACCTGATTAGAGAGTACATTTTTTTACTGGAGAATGTCTCCATTCAGTTTGTGGTAGAACCGAGATAATATGGCTAGGCAGTCAGCCATCTCGGGGACAGGGGGTTGACGGGTGCGTGCAAAATGAAAGTATCGATCAAGTACAGAGTTATGGTGAAAATCCGAGTTAATTAAACCAAGTACAGAGTAAATCGAATACCAACATCATGTGAGCCAGAAGACGCTAAAATATGACCACAGACCAAAAATTCGATTTTCAGTTTTTGTTCAAAAATGATCAAACACACCTAATGTTCACTGTGTGAAAGTTTTGGGTTGATCTGACATGTCTAAGTGTTGCTACAATGGTATTATATGCAGCACTTTTGAAATGGTGAAATTCTATGTACAGCAGTGGGATTGTCATTTTTGCATACAGTTGATAATTATGTCCCTCGGTTCATCCTTTCCGGGTCAGTTCCTCTGCCCAGGGTCTTATAGCATGAGCTGACAGGTACTCGGTCACATCCAAAATTTATATAGGCAGCCGAGCTGGGTGTCCGAAATACCTCCGGGTTGGAGCACCACTGGAGAACCGCCAGCGAAAACACCGTCAACATCTGTAGAGGTCCGAAGACGTTGGCACTCCGCATCCTCTTCATCACACTCCACCCGTACTTTCAGATATACAGTATACACTGCTGCGCACAGTCTTCCTCAACAGACTCGGCGTCGCACTAATATTCTCGACACCAAAGCCCATCTGCACACGGTCTTCTCCGTTTGCCAGAGAGTACTGCTTTCGCTGCCCACTGCTCGTGCTTGCGATGTTCCGCATAAGGGTACTAGTACTCAAATTATCCCTTGAAGGAGCAGCAGAGTCCATTGATTGGTTTTGCACTTGCAACCAACACTGGCATTGTCCCGGATATGTGCAGCGATGTCCATTCTGGCCAAATCATCGGCCGACTCACCTCCCAAGTCAGTGTCGACGCCAATAGCTTGCCAGGTTGTCATTGTATTTTTTTGTATTGCTTTTATTTTACATTGCAAGTCAAACGGGCAATCATGCATCAATTCTTTTAACACTCGATGAAAGTGTCGCCCTCAAATGAGGCGTTGCTGTAGCCATCATCGTATTCCTTCTGTTTCCGTTTCAAATCCTCAAAATATTTCGCCTGCGCATGGAGTGCAAGGATGTACAATGTAGTCTTCTTCCGCTCCGCAGTACATTAGGCTCTTCCTTCGATACATCGATCACGATCAGTTTTAGGCGACTCAGCACAACATGGCATACAAACTCAAACAAATAAACTTACTTGCAACAGAGAAATGCATCTGGAAGAGTCCAGTCAACCTAGGAGAGCACCAACAGCGACTCGCGTTGCGCTGCACTTCGTATTTTTTTGCTGCGGAATTCAAACCCGATTTTTCGACTTTATAAAAGCTGTGGTCGTGTTTTAGCACGCTCTGGCTCATGTCATGATTGGACCGCCGGCAGGGGGGGGGGGGGCTGCATAAGGCATTAAACTACTCTATCAAAAACCAGACATGTTATTCATATTCATTAGGTTGATAGAATCGGGTAATGGGAAAATGTTGAATTTCACCACAAGGAATCAAACCAGGGACCCCAGATTACGGCCAGCAACTCTCCGCCACCCAGCGATGGTAGAGTTGCCTCGTTTTTCAAAACAACAACGATACTGAAGGAGACGAAGCAAAAGCGAGCTGTCAATGTTGTCTGAAGTCTGAATGGAGACCTGCGGCTCTGGCTGGCTAAGGCTTGCTGATTAGTTAGTTGGCGCGGCCTAGATCATGAATGCTACTGGCAAGTGTACAATATTCACAATACAATCGCCATGATGACCAGATCGGTATGTTCGGTTGTGCTGAGTATCCTATCAGATGAAGTGCTATTATCAAAATATAGATAAGAATAAAAAGGCTCGCACAGATATCTGATCTGTTGTTCTCTCGGTTCACATAAACGCTGACCGAAATTCAAGCCTGCTCTGTTGTCAAGAGTTCAAATCGTGAAATTCTTCATCGACTACATGCCTAGTTGCTGCCCATGTGGTACGTGCGAATGAATGAAGATCGCCGTTTTGGCAGCATGTGTAGCTTCCAATCTGGTCAGGCCGGTCAGGCGGTGGCCGGATCAACTTTTTGGTGACCGACGTGTACACTGATGGGGAGGTCATGTGTACACCACAGTATACCCTCCATATCATACACAAACTGTATGAAAAGCTATGTGTATACCCTCCATATCATACACAAACTGTATGAAAAGCTATGTGTATACCCTCCATATCATACACAAACTGTATGAAAAGCTATGTGTATACCCTCCATATCATACACAAACTGTATGAAAAGGCTAGGCTATGGCGGGACCAATCAAAGACTGCTTCGGCATGTACAGGTTAAACCTGTACATTCTTCGATCCCAGGCCTGGAATTAAAGCTGCATGAAGATCCACATTACTAACCTGTACATTCTTCAATCCCGGCACTGTTCAGCATTGTCCTATTGGCGATATACCCGAGTTGGCAGCATGTATAGTTTCCAATCTCATTAATGCACCTTTTATAGTCACAGGGTGGTGAGGCAGAAGACACTCGTTGATATCTGCCACAAAAAAACACACATACATGCACGTACACACGCAAACGAAAATGTGGGAAGGAGCCAACTACCAGCCTGATAAGCTCTAGCCTGATCCACTGCCTTGCAGTTGGAATGGGCGCTGCCTCTCTTGTGAACTGCACAGGCCTCATCCTAACACAGGCCATCTAACTCCACCATGGTCAACATACTGATAAATTTAACCCCGCTGATGCATTCTTTTCTTCCGATTATCATATTCTTTCCTTCTTTCTTTTTTTTCTTCTCTTGCCATGGCTGGCTTACACACCCTCCTTTGTATTGGCTTCTGCCATTGGACGGTGAAATAAAACAAAAATAAATAAATAAATCTACTGTGTACAGTCTAGGGGACGGAGGCAAAAATAAATATTTAATAACACAAGACTTTCCTCTTCTTCAGACTTTTCCTTTTTCCATGAAAATAATACCATTCTGCAGGACCTTGCTAGCTACAAAAAGGCCCAAATACGTTTTATTCTTTGCATTTGTCCACATATTCGCCGGAACACCAGTCACAGCCGCATAGAATTTCGTTT